TTTTCTTTTTAGCAAATAATTTAAAATGCCAAGTTCAAGGAATTGCTTTGTCACGTTGGTCATGAGCCTTCATGGACCTGGAGCCATATAGACTTTTCATTTAAACATTTATTTCATTAATCACATTTACATCAATAGTAGATAGGCTGTATTAAATAGAACTTGGCTAATTATCATTAATGATAAAAAAGATCAGTCACCCAATACAGCCCTATAGGTTATGTTCTACTTGTGGATTTATCAAGTTCAGAAGTTAGATTACAAGAAGTTTCAGGTCTGTAGGAGGGAATATGCTACATAATCACCCAGACTGCACCGTTTGTAGAATGACCCATATTTATGCATTTAGGCTGTGGATTAGTGATTGTTATTAACCTTCATGGCCTATTTCCTGAGTAACATATGGTTTTAGTTAAGAACAGTGGCTACAAAATGTATATTTTAGGCAACTTCACACATTCAGTCAGTCCGCTACCACCTGCCACGTTGGTTCTCGCTGTTTTATTACAGTGGCCATGTTTCCAATTTTTACAGATTTTCTGCTTTTATCCCCCATACGCGTCCACGAGTGGGAAATGTGCTGCACATGTCTTCGAAGGGTGTGCTTGAAAATCCAACCAACCCAGTGCTGCTCATGGAGTCCGTTCATTTTAACTACACTACTTCACATGCAGCATCTCGGTGACGTGCCAGTATAGCCAAATGTTGAAGAAAGCCGTGAACGCGCATTTATCCTAATTACTTAGACCCATCTTGGCCTAGTCGCATCTCTTCCACTTTCATAAAACGAAGCCAGGATGCACTTAGCAGACTGAGTCAAGCTTCGCTGTGTCTTGTTATCTTGGATTTCTTAATTCTACTTTTGTACAGTACCCCCCCAGATCTAACAGGATGAGGGTGCATCTGGGACTTCCTGTACTGGGCACAGTACACACACAATTTTACGTATTTTATTTTTGTCAGACAGGGCAACTGGTATGTACATTAGAGCAGTGGTCCCCAACCCCCGGGCCGCGGACCGGTACCGGTCCGTGGATCAATTGGTACCGGGCCGTACAAGAAATGATTAATTATTTCCGTTTTATTTATTATCTGAGTCTGAACGATCTTTTATTTTGAAAAATGACCGCATTCTCTCGGTTACATCTCGGTCACTTGAGCGCCAAAACTGGCTTACTTGTGCGACATATTCAGCCTGCTCAATGAACTCAATCTGTCACTTCAGGGGGAAATGACAACTGTCTTCAAGTTGGCAGATAAAGTAGCTGCATTTAAAGCCAAACTGGATTTGTGGGGACGACGCGTCAACAGAGGCATTTTGGACATGTTTCAAACATTAGTGGGGATTTTGGGTGAGACTGAGCCTGAGCCTTCATTCTCCCAGCTGGTGCACGATCACCTGTCTTTGCTTTTAAAAGAGTTCGAGCGCTACTTCCCAACCACAAAGGACCCACGAACTGCTAAGGAATGGATCCGCAACCCATTTGTCAACAAACCAGGTGAATCCAGCAGGTCTGTGCAAGAAGAAGATCAACTGCTGGAGATCGCAAATGACGGCGGCCTTAAAAGTATGTTCGAGACAACAACTCTGTCGGTGTTCTGGATTAAAGTCATGACAGAATACCCTGAGATCGCCACCACAGCACTGAAAACTGAGACTTTGATGTTATACTCATGTTATGTTGGTGGCGCAATGTTACGAGGAAGCTGTTAATAAAGTTGCATACAAGTACACAGTGAATTTACATTTATTATTATATTTACAATATAAACAATCTACGTACCCCCCCCTCCCCCCGGGCCGCAGTAAAATTGTCAAGCGTTGACCGGTCCGCAGTGATAAAAAGGTTGGGGACCACTACATTAGAGGACAGAAACAAATGCTACACAGATGACAAATAAAGTCTTACGCCAAACTGCTGTATTCAGTATCAGCTGTACCGTGTCCTGTGTTCCTGGTGAAAAGCTCCTAAACTGTCCGTCTTGACTGCGAGTTTTGTCACGGCCATGTCTTAGGATACATCCATTAGTGAAACTTACCATATTGAATACTTCCTGTAGCACTGGATCATTTTTAACGCGTAGCTGGACCAGAGAGGAGAAAAATGGAAGAGGTTTCACTGTGCTCTGTGTTTAAAATACTAACAACGTCAAGTGGCGTTAACCATGGAAAGGCTATGGAAATTTGGATCGAAATTACCCTCAGTTCAGAATTAGTTAATGGTTCGATATGTAACGTTAGTGAGTGACTTTTAATTGATTTTATCTCTTGAATGCAGGGGGCGGGGGAAATGAAAAGACTACTCGTTATTTGGAGAAGATGCAAAAAGCTGGCCACCAAAAAGCAAAATATACCTGCTGTCGTTTATTTGACAGTTTTATGAACAAAACTGGTTTTGAATGTGGTCCTGCTCTCCCGTCTCATTTGGAAGGCGTTGACTTAGCAATGAGTTAGTGTCATCTTGTTCTGAATATACGATCTTTGTAAACAACCGGCAGCCATACGTAAGCTGTTGACATATGGAAGGATACCACAGTCAGTGGTCGTCCACTGTCGTTCTCTGATCCGTTCAGCTGTTTTAAATATGAGACACTCTATTGTAACGCATTAGCCAAAGAAAGCGCCAAAACAGGAAGACATCGATTAAACCGATATCAGGTGCCAGCCGCCGTTTACTTGCCTTGTCCCGTGTACGGCACTGTGACAGCGCACCTTCGCCGTCAGCTGTGTCTATGATAGTCTGACAGGAATGTCCGCCGTACGAGACGCCTTCGTGAAAAAGAAGCACGTTCGATTCGCCAGCATGGAGGGCAACTACGACAAGGACGACCAGGAGGAGGACACCCTGTTTGACAAGAGGAAGGATACCGGGCGAGGGCTAAAGAGTGCACTGAAAGCGGTCAAGAGGACGACGAAACCAGTATGTGACAACCAGGTGGAGGTAGTCGGCGGAGGAAGACACAGACATGGAACGTGCGGTCGCTGGATGGTCACGCTCGCGCTCTGCGCATCTTTCCTGGGCTTGGTAAAAAATGTGGGATTTTCGCTATTGAGGGGATGGCAGCGTTAGCTAACGCTAACTGTGTGGTTTTATAGCTGACTAGTTAGCATAAGTGTAATGTTTGTTAGATAAACCGTGGGCCATTCTAATGTTATGTTATAGGTTAGCATGACAAACACCTCTATGTTCTAATGGAATTATCATATAAACCGGTAAATCAAGAAAATATAACGTTATGAGATATAGTTATCATATTCTTTCCTGGCACAAACTGCGTGAAAATTAATTTATCTCAGTTATTTGGACAGGTTTGGGGCATGTTGCTTATAGCTGCTAGTGTTTAGGCAAGCAAATTAGCAAAAGTATGCAGTGTAATTTGATTTGCATGGTTCCTGTAACTCTCAGTATTTCTGATATGATCACATTTTATGACAAATTAATGCAGAAAACCATGAAATTCCAAAAGGTTGACATACTTTCTCTGGCCACTGTACATTCTTTAGTATAAAATCTAAACAATAAAAGTCAGATATTGCATGTGCCTCAGTGCTTCCTTGTGGATTTTCTCTTATGCGCCGACCTTCTGTGATTATATGAGAAACTTATCACAGAAGACACAGAGATGGCACTTTCTTTGTAAATAGTAGCTTCAGTTTAGGCTTTAATAGGCAGTAATGTGTGAATTTACAGTAACTTGTTGCCTTCGGTAATACTGACACTTGCATACTCAGGTACTCATTAAGACAAGGGAGGGAAAGACTCCAAAATCAGTGTAATATAGATAAATAAGTCCTTAAATGTGCCAAGCTGCACAGATTGGTGACACAAGAATTTCAAAGGGTAGATGCTTTGTGGATAAAGCTGGTGAGAACCAGTCACTGACTGAGACTCTTGTTGTAACCTTTGTTGCCATTTTCTTGTTTATTTTTCTAGGGTATGTGTATCTCAGTTCTTGGCCCCACGTTTGGTGACCTGGCTGAGAATGTGAAGAAAAACATCAGCAACATCTCCTACATCTTTGTGGGCCGCTCTGCGGGCTACATCGGAGGATCCCTAATAGGTGGCATTCTCTTTGACTGCGTGAATCCTCATCTCCTGCTAGGTAACCTTTCCTTCAGATGTATTTGTTATAGATGCTGAAAGTCTCTCTGCTAGGCTCAACAGGTTCAACATCCGCTGGGTTTTCATCACAGATCTTCTGACTCTTCCCACCTTTTCTACTGAAATTGACTTTTTCTCTGATTCTCTCTCTTTCCAGGTTTTTCTATGCTGGTGACAGCATTTGGAATGTGTGCTATCCCTTTCTGTGGGCAGGCTCTGCTCCTCACTGGGTTCATCTCTAGCATTGGGATTTCTATGGGCATTCTGGATACAGGTAAAACAACACTTAATACATGAGCAAATAGCACAAGCTTCACTTACCTGGTGTGAAAACCTTTAGCTAATGGTTCAGTTTTAGCCTGTTTAATGTTTGACATGGAACTTGTTTAACTGTGGCTCTTTCCTGTTGGCTACACTGCACTTTGTTTTTATGTTGAGCATTTTTATAACAGAGGTTTTGGCATGTCATAGTAGGAAAAGCCCAGGTATAATTTCTAATAATAAAAAACACTGCATTCCATTCAGGTGAGCTAGTTCCAGGGTCTGGCACACTGGCATGTGCAACAGCTACAGTTGCATAGGTTTACTGTTTGCCATAATTTGCAGGGTGGGTTTAATATCTCCCTGGTTTGCAGTCTGTGTCGACTGTGTATTATCAACTCGAGGCTGTATCCTTCTGTAGCGAATGTGTTGTGAATTTCCACACTACAATTTAAAAAAGAAAAGCAGAGGGCTCACATCATTGAGCTATGCGGCTGTTACAATTTGAACATGCAGCAAAACAATGACCTTTGGCCACAGTACTAACTGTGAAAGTGCACAAGAGAGGAGGAGAGAGTGGCCCTGATCATGGCTTTTTTTTATTCAGAAAAAGCAGAACAAACTTGCCCCATAAACCACTTCTTACTGCTCTTTGGCCTTCTTGTCCTGTTTTCTAACTATGGATGCCTGATTATGATGAGCTGAACAAAAGACAGCCTCCAGTCCAAAGCTAGTGTTAGCTGAGTTCTGACTAACTGAGAAAACACACAATTTGAGACATGTCTCCCAAAGAACCCTCATATTTTTTACATTTCATGTATATTTTTTCCCCCCTGCTGGAGTGTAATCTGATGATGATCTTACATGAAAACTATTTTTGTCCAGCACACTTCAAATAAAATCAAATCAAATTTTATTTGTATAGCGCCAAATCACAACAAAAGTCATCTCAGGACACTTTACAAAGTAAGGTCTAGACCTTACTGTTATCAATATTATTACATAGGGAAAACCCAACAAATCCCCCTTGAGCAAGCACTTGGCGACAGTGGGGAGGAAAAACTCCCTTTAACAGAAGAAACCTCCGACAGACCCCGGCTCTTGGTGGGCGGCCTTCTGCCTCGACC